ATCCCCACAGACTCCAAATCTTCCTTTAAATTTAAACACTTTACGACTACCTCCTCCATACCCGGTAAACCCGACTTCTAGTCGCACCACATTAGTTCATTTTCTCACTTATTCTTTCTGTTTGCTGTATGATCGATGGTTTGGTTTGTGAAAGCATCGTGCATATCAGTTCGCTTCTTCATGCGTGCCTTGATAAGTTTTTGTTTCTCGGAAAGATCTTCAAGCCTTTCAATCTAAATTTTTAATGTAAAATTTTGAATGTGTGCGATTTATTATTTATTCGAATTTACAAAAAAAATTAAAATTTAAAACTAACTTTGCTCGCTTTCATCAAGTCTATCTGAGTAATTCGACGTTTTTGCCAACTACCGTGCTTTTTACATTTTCCCCTTGGTGCAGAACAAACTTCTTCAACAGCACCAACTTTTTCTTTAACGTCATTATCCACCCAATCTAAGCGCGGATTGTATCCACAGATTTGTCCATTGCGAATATTAACATCACTTTCGGATTGTTTATCAAATTCGCAGGGCACATCTTGAGATGATCGGTTGCTGTCATCTGGTTCACTATCACTTTGTGACTTCTCTGAACCTTTTATTGTTATTTTATTACGTTTGTCGATTATTTCTAGTTCTCTTTTTATTGAATCTTTCCGTCTGGAAATCTTTTTCAAATGTTCACTATCTTCTAAATGTCCGGCGCGATTTGTTACATTTCGTTTTACGCGACCTTTTCTATCTTTATTGTCCTTAACCTTTTGTTTTAATAACTTGCCCATTTTTGCAAGTCTTTCTTCCTTTTTCAAAAGTTCGCGGTTCCATGATAACCCACACTTAATTGAACAGAATTTAGTTTTTACAAACCTTGCAGGTTTTTTGCAAGGCGGGTATTTACACTTTTCAGGTTTCCATGATGTTTTATGTCCCAAATCTAAATATTCACACGTAAATATATAAACCAAATAAAAGATTGTTAGAAATGAAATCAACTCTAATAACAAATACCAATCAAATTACGGACCATATAATAATACCTGTGCAATTCGGACAATAATATTTATCAACCATCTGTGATTCCTCCCGTGAAATGTTGACACAGTCACCATGAAACCATTCATCACAGTTGTCACACTCAATCATAAATGATTCACCATCAGTTGATCTACATATACAGTAGTGTTGCACCTTTTTTGCAACTACAATAACCATATCATCAACTGTAGTTATTTCGGCCTGAGGTTGCAAGCGTGGAGAATTATTGACGCTTGAATTATTGGAAGTAGTTCTTGAACGAAAATGTGGAGATGACGAAGCTTTTTTAAGTCTCTTATTTTTACTACTACTGTGGACAGACTGGGAAGTAGCTTTCCTCTTTAATGGAGGTATTCTCGGTCGGTTGATTGAAGGATTACGTTTTCGTGGTTTATCATCATCAGATGATACTGTTTCAGGATCTTCCCGTTTTATTTTATATTTACGATTTTTGGTTTGTCGATCCTTCTTTTCTTTACCTTTAGCCTTCGTTAAATATTTCTTGCTTTTACTTTTCTTAACAACACGTTTAGAAGCAGCTTTATTAGAAGTAGTTGCTTCCCTTGAGCTACTTCCATCGCTATCAGTCTCAGTAGTTTCACCAGACGTTTCTTCATATTCATACTGCGGAAATTCTGAATCTGTTTGAGGGGGCGCAGGTGTACTTCCCGTAGTACTTTCGTATGATGGCGGTGATACAAGTGTCTTCATCGGTGAGAAGGAATGTTCGACGAACGGAGAAGCTGGAAGAGAATCCTGTTCTTCTTGGGAAGGAACATTTTCTTCAACTGATTCGACTTCACTCGTTTCCAGTTCTTTTCTTCTCATATTTTGAAGTTCATTGAGAGCTGTACTAGCTAGCTGGTCTAAACCAGAAACAAAGTGGGTTCCTTCGTCGTCGTCGTCTACCTCCATAGTCTCATGTTTGGGAGTAGTAGGGCATGAAGGACCATATTCTACATACTCGACTTCTTGGACTGAATTTGTAGAATACTCCACGATACTATTAGGTTGGTCCTTTATTTGCATTCCGTCAGACTCGCCGGAAGGAATAGACGTTTTACGAACAGTAGTAACGCTGTTAGCTGTGCCGGTATTATTACTGTTGTTATTACTTTGTAAACTGTGGTGGCCATTTTTATTTATAGTCGGAGTTATTTCTTCAGCTTCCACACAATTGGCACTTGACGTAGGCGTAGAGTGGTTAACTGTGGGTCTTGTATTAAAATTTGCGGAAGGAGTATTTGATAATGACAAGTTATTATTTATAAGTGAATGAGAAGTAGTTGGCGTGGTCGTTACTGAAATGGAGGTTAAAGAACTTGTGTTTGTTTGTGATAAAGGAGTGACATTCGTAACGTTATTAAAACCAACTGTCGGAAAACTTTGTTTATTAATAGCATAGTTATAACCAAAACCAATTGGTGAACAAGAGGAGTTTGAAAAAGTGGGAGGTGGTGAAATTGACTGGAAAGTCGGGTTTACCGGGTATGGAGGAGGTAGTCGTAAAGTGTTTAAATTTAAAGGAAGATTTGGAGTCTGTGGGGAT